AAACTGGACAACAGAAAATTGAAAAAATGTTGCCAGGTGTGGTTCTTGAATTCAGCTGCGACATTCAGATAGTATGATCAGAATTTGGTGTAAACAACATGAAAACATGCATCCATGTATCCATCCTTGTATCAGTGGGGTTCAGGCTGCTGGTTGTTGTATATACAGAATGTCCTCTGGGCTCCACTTCAAGGTCTTTAGTATCAACTGAATATCATTTAAACACCGCATCTGATCCTTTATGACTACACTGTGCCCATCTTCTAATGGCTGCTTCCAGCAATGACAACAAACAATGCCACAAATGTCAAGTTGGAATATTTGGTGTACCTAATAAAGTGACCACCACATGCAGTGCTTTTGACTCTCCAGTAGTCCCCTTACACTCAGTTTGTTTCCTTCATAATCCTCTTATCATCGCTTGGATTTTTTATCTTAAGCTGAAAAGTGCTGACATCAGCCGATGTGTTGCAGTTTAAACATTAACAATTACAAAATATCTACCTAGTAACAGATCCTGAATCATTTAAGTGAGTAAAGAGGAGAGGATATATCATTTTATTAGATTTTTAACCAGGTAATAAAAGTAAAACAAAAAAAGTAATAATCATTAATTTGTTGTTTTATGGTTGCTTATCCAGCTAAGGTTAGAGGAGAGTCCTTCATATTATTAATCCTCACTTACTAGTTAGCAAGGAGGACACAAATTGTACCTTAAGAGGGTTTTGAAAGTTTTTGCAAACACTGAAATATGTGAAAAATGAGGGCTTGGGTTGTGAAAATACATATTGACAGAATGACTATTGATATGCTTTGAGAAATGTTAGTAAATTGAATGTGATGATACTGATATCTAAAAACAAAATAATAGCGTTTTCATATCATATGTTTACATGTGATAATATTGTAAGCATTGTTCTCACTAAATACATGCACTTATAATTCAAACATACTCAATCCATGAAGCCAATTTCTTAACCAGTTATGCAAAGAGGAAGAGGCTAGCACAGAGAGCTGACTG